GGCAGACTCGCCAGAATCCTGACTGAATGCAAAAAAGCTAAAAAAGTGACAATTTCATCCGATGTCCCGTTCAAGTATAATAACCTTGAACAACAGGAGGGTTAAATGCACGACAGAGATTTGACGTCCGGGTTTTAAACTCACTCTTTTGCAGGTTGGTCAAAGATTGACAGGTGCCATTAATGGTCACTAATGTGGTCACCAAGTTTAGCTGAGCTGTCAACAGCTAGTTTCTGATTAAGTCAGACCACAGCTTTCTTGGACCTAAAGCGTCAGGAAGCGGATGCTGCAAAACCACTGAAGTGTGAAACCGCACAGATAGAACATTTCATAAGCAGCCGGAGAAAAAAAGCACAGTGAACAACTTGTTTTCCCCTCGTTTCTGTCACAACCTGACCTAGAATTCAGACCACACTCGAAACGGTTACGACGAGCACGCGTGAGGTCTTATTCACTTTTTGCCCATGTGTTTCTAACACATTCCACATATTGCACTCAATTATTTATATGCTTCAAATTCCTTTTGTGTTGCATAACAGTAATTTTCCAATAAACAGATACTTGAGGTTTCCAGAGTTCCTAATGACTGTGAAATATTCCAGGAGATTTGTCTAGGGTGCTTTCAACGGAACAGAGCTTCCCAAAGTCTCTCCCTCCGAACAAAAGATCAGCGTGATGTGGCAATCTAGGCGTGAACTCCAGTGTCATTGAAGTTAAAAGAGAAGGACGATATGAGAACAGTACAATCTGTATCCTCACCTATAATGTGACTTACACTCCCTCGAAGGACACATGGCTGAACTTGCTCTGTATCACTGTTGCCAAACTATTTGAAAAACTGTGCAGGGTTCAGTATTTTCAATTGACAACAAAAAAAGTAATTTCCAATTTCCTGCTTTTTCTTTAGAAACAGTAAACAATGTGTGTGTTTACATGATGTTTGTGTGAACATATCACTTCCTAAACTTGTCTTTGTAAAGATATATCCAACTTTATAATAGATATGAGAAAAGTATATAATGGATGAAAACTTAAAAAAAATAAAATAAACCAGAGTTTCAAGCAGTTTGAAGATCAAATGTGGAAGAGCTGTGTTATTTTATCATTGAGACACTGTTAATTTTTATTATTTAGAATTAGTTTTTATTTTTAAATTTTCTGTTTTCATTTTGATTTCAGTAAAAAAAAAAATTAGTGTAATTTTTAGTGTCTATTTTAAAAGTTTTAGTTTTTACCTTTTTAGCTCGAGTAATTATTATTATTTTTTTTTCCAATGTCTATATAGTTTTAGTTTTTTTTAATCATTTTTATTAGTTTTTTAATGCCTATTTTAATAAAAAGTTGTATTGTTTTTTTTTTATGTGTGTGTAATTTGGCCATTTTTATTGCTTTTATATTGTTTTTAAAAAGTTTTAGTTTTGTTGTTTGTAATTTTGTCATTTGTTTTAGTTTTAATGTCTATATAGCTTTTAAAAAGTTTTATTATTTTTTTGTGTAATTTTGTCATTTTTATTGTTTCTTAAGGTAGTTTTAAAAAAAGTTATAGTTTTTAATTTTGTTTAGTGTCATTTTGTAATTTTGTTAGTTTTTTTAAATGTCTGTATAGCTTTTAAAAAGTTCCCGTTTTATTTTTGTCATTTTTTTTCTTACCCAAAAGTGAAATTTTACTTGTCAGCCTTGTCTGTGTAAAGAATAAAAATATATTCAAACTTTATAAAGCAGATATATAAAAAAAATGTCGCCATGACCGTGCAATGCCATGAAGCCTAAACCCCTAAATGTCTGTAAAAATGATCATTTAACCTTTGAACAGGTTTGCAACTCAAATAATAATGAAAGAATGTATAGATGTAAATGCTTTTATAAAATTATAAGCTTCATTTCTGCTTTTACATTCTGAAAAAATGGCCACGTTCACTTCCATTGTAACTTTGATTTATGATTGTTCTACTTCTTTTTCTTTTTTTCTGTTAAAGAAAATAAGTAAAGTTATTATTTGTAACACAACAACACACTTCAACGATCTTATAAAACATGAATCATCATAATATGTTACCCAGCGTATGATGTACATGGTTTCATCATCTCAATGGCATGATTATTGATTGAAGTATTGATTGTGCTTTTCTCCAGTATGGATCAGACTGTATATTGCAATGAGGAAGCGTGATTGGCAAACAATGTGCTTCCATCAAAACATCCTGTTAATGACAAGCCAGTGTGTGCACAGTGTGAGAAATAATGGAGGAGGCCTGTCATTAATGAATAATAACTGATGATGGACCACGTGCTCCGAGGGTTTGCTAACCGTCAGATCAGAACAATCACGCTGTTCAAGCAGTCAGAGACGAACAAACACAGCAACACCTTACTGTGAGCTGACAGGATGTACACACACGCGCGCGCACACACTCACACATACACACACATACAAATAAATACATTCTTAATATAAATAAATATTTAAAACTGTAAACGCATACTCTTAACCTTATTCTTGAGTGGTGATTTTAATTCATGTTGGAAATGCATTAACTGTTGCTTTTACTTGGTTACTGGTTTAATTTTGTTGTTTGTTTGTTTTAGTGTCTATTTTTGTGTTGCCTTGTTTGTTTTTGCTGTGTTTTGCCTGTGTTGTAAAGCACCTTGAGAAAGCAACTTATACAGCGCTATATAAAAACATATTATTATTATTATTATTATTATTAAAGTATCTATACCTGGAATTCCTTATATAGCAATTAAACAACAATAGCAATCCCTTGTAATTCCCTTACAGTAACAACTAGGCATTCTGTGTGACGCAAACACTCCTACGACTACAACTAAACTCTAATTTTAGAAATTCATGTTTACTGTAAGCACTATAACTGAAATGTGTGTTTTCATTTGACCACAAATTCAGTTAGTTTGCTATAAACAACAGCATGATTGAATAGCTCACTTGATCCATTAATAAATATCTGCTTAATAGAGCAAAACAGACTTGTCTAACTTATGTAACGAAGTAAAGAAAAACATGTTTGTCATCTTTTATTAGTTGAGCATAATAAAATGAGAGCAAAGCCTGCAAACAGAATTCAAATCCCTTTTTTTGCAGTTTCTCACAAAACAATAGTTTATTGTATGTCTGTTTGTCCAAGCATTAGTCTCTGAGTTGAAGAGAAGGAAAATCCACCAAAAAAGGACAATTATAAAGTTATAAAAGTGGTCAAATATAAAGATTTATATATGTATAGTAAAACCAAAATATTGATTTTTTTTTAAAATATTTAATACATTTTTTTTAATTATTTATTTGAATCCTTTAGCAGCCCAAATATATATTTATATATATATTCAATGCATTTATATTTTTATTAAATTGTAATTTCCGCATCATATCTGTTTCACAGAAAAATCTGCCAAAGCAAATTTAAAACATTTCCTATGGGAATCACTGCAGTAGAGACACTTTATCATTTCATTAGAACATTAATAATCATGCATTCATATTCAAATAATAAAAGTGCATCTGTTCAAGGCTCTGATCGATGCACAACACTCTAAATGTTGGAGTTCTACGATAAACTGACATGAAAAATAAAAAACAGGTGATTTACTCTATACGATCCATTCATGAGGATATAACACAGTCACAGATCTGCCCTAAACGAATATACACACACAGACACAACATGGTGTACAATTAACCTTTCCATAGCATTCATATCTGGGACAACGATTATGAAAATCAATATTACAGGAATGCCAAAGCAAATATCTCCAGATCGACAGGAATGCAGTTCAATAGAGCGTGACTGAAGATATTCAGAACAAAAGGGCAGAGGGTGATGATGGGTTAACAGAGGGCAAAATTCACGTTTATCAATGCACGCGATAGTTATTAGGTTTCCTGGGAAGTTTTGCGAAGATCTTCTGTTTTGTTGGACGCATCTCAACTTCAGCAGATGACCAAGACATAAAACAGCCAATAAGTATTAAAGCAACAATAAAAGCATTATTATGAGTGGAAATAGTTTCTTTCTAGACCTGAAACACTGTGTGGACACACAATGGAGACTGTGTGACGTTTCTTTGCTTACTTTTCTGAATGTTTGCTTTTTCTTACAATCAGTCGTGTGCTGACTCTGAGCTTTTCAGCACTGAGTTCCAGCTCAATAATGGAAAGAAGAAAACTAGATATTAGAGCAGAATTGTTAAGGATGAGTTTGATTACTATTGCTAAATGTACAGTATGTAAATCGGTGACTTAGACCAGGTGGTTTTCAATCTTTTAGATGTCACAAACCCATAAATATCATGAATAAAATCCCAATTTATACACTGAAAAATTTATATTATAAATGTGTAAAATATACTTTGGAAAATATTCAGTTTCCGTGACATTATTACATCTTTGTACTGCAGAACCGTACTGTTTTGTATTATTTATTTATTTATTTATTATTTTAATTAAACGTTTTAAGTCAGTTAAAACATATAAGATTATTGAGTCATCTGTAAATAGAGATTCAAGGTTTAGCTGATTTTCTCTATCCCCCCACTTGAGTCGAAACGAAATGTAAACGTATTTTATTTTCTTTATTTCTTTTTTATTTTGATGTTTTCTTTGTGTGTACTCTAAAGCTTTAACAGTCTGTTTTACAATGTCAAATGTTACTAGCAAAATTTTAATTAAAAAAACCAAAAACAAAACAAAAAACGTCATGACGTTGTTTACGCAGAAACGCCGACGCGCTTAAAACATAATTATTGAGTCATCTGTAAATAGAGATTCAAGGTTTAACTGATTTTCTCTATCCCCCCACTTGAGTCGAAACGAAATGTAAACGTATTTTATTTTCTTTATTTCTTTTTTATTTTGATGTTTTCTTTGTGTGTACTCTAAAGCTTTAACAGTCTGTTTTACAATGTCAAATGTTACTAGCAAAATTTTAATTAAAAAAAACAAAAACAAAACAAAAAACGTCATGACGTTGTTTACGCAGAAACGCCGACGCGCGTTGATGACGTAGCAACCCCTCGACGAAAACATGGCGGCTGCTGAACCGGTGCTAGAGGAGGCTGAAGATTATTCCTTTTTACCTATTATTCACGACATAATAAAATGGTAAGACGTAGTTATTCTTTTTTTTTTATGTTTCAAGGCACAGCATGCAGGATTATTTCGCCGTGTTCTGTCACGTGTCAGTACGTGTTACCGTCGGGTCTGTGTGTAAACAACAGCAGCGTGTGTGTTTCAAGCCGCTCGGTTTTAACGTCCTGCCTGCACTCACCCGTCAACAGCATGGACAAAGACAGTCCAGACGTCCATCAGGAGCTGAACAAGCTGAAGACGAAGATCCAGGAGGCTCGGGAGCAGATCGCGGCGATGCCGGGGATCGACATGAGTCCCGCGCTGCAGGAGAGCAGACTGCGCAGCCTCCGAGAGCAGGTCCGGACCAAGAACCAGCTTCTGCAGAAATACAAGAGCCTGTGCATGTTTGACATCCCCAAACCCTCCTGACACTCTGCAGAGGAACCATGGCCGTGCTGCTGTGTGTAACTAACCAGCCAACCCACTGATGCCACACTTATATTTGTAAAATTGCTGTATTTTTTATAATTTAGTTTTTACTTTGAGAGTAGCATTTACAAGATTACGTGCTTGTTATTAGTGAATAGATTCTGTATACTTTGCCTTTTTTGTGCATTAAATTAAATTACTTCTATTTTTTTTGCTTGCATTTAAACATAAAGTCTTATTTAATGTGCTTGGGTGACCTGAAACAATATTAGGGTCTTAATCAAGCCATTATTAATTAGTGAAATGACAAGCAAGTTTGCTTGTGGTCAACAAGAGACTATTATTAAGCATCCTAGAAGGCATTTTCAGGTAATTGTGCAGGTTTAAAGCGTATATCTGGAATATTTTACCCGTTGATGGGGTTATCTGCAAGCTTTCAGATAGATTAAACTGTTAACAATCATTTTTAATGTTCTCGGAGGCAATACTGAGGCTTCATTCCAAGCATAGATTAGTCCATTTCAAGCCGTTTTTGCTTGCCATCAAGTGTGTGCACAACAAAAGTCTGAGAATCCTAGAAGGTATTATATTATAGTTTTAAAGCATGTACACAACCAGTCATTAAAAGTTTTTGAATAGTAAGATTTTTAAGTTTTTTTTTTTTAAGATTTCTCTTCTGCTCACAAATCCTGCATTTATTTGATCCAAAAGGCAGCAAAAGCAGTAAAATTGTGAAATATTTTTACTATTTAAAATAACTGCTTTCTATGTGAATATGTGTTAAACTGTAATGTATTTCTGTGATGCGCAGCTGTATTTTCAGCATCATTACTCCAGTCTTCAGTGTCACATGATCTTCAGAAATCATTCTAATATGCTGATTTGCTGCTCAAGAAACTTTTATTATTATTATTATTATTATGTATCACAGAAATAAATTACAGTTTAACAGATATTCACATAGAAAACTGCTATTTTAGACAGTAAAAATATTTCACAATATTACTGCTGTTTTTTGGATCAAATAAATGCAGGCTTGGTGAGCAGAAGAGAATTCTTTAAAAAACTTTAAAAATCTTACTTTTCAAAATCTTTTGACTGGTAGTGTAGCTGGAACATGTATACTCAAAATAGGGTTTATAGTTTATAAAACCATATTTAATCCCCCCCCCCCCCTTTTCTTAGACAATTTTGAAGCCTGGTTCCAAGCCAAAATAGATTAGTCAATTATAAGTCATGTTTTCTTGGCGCCAAGCGTGTCCACAGCATATGACTCATGTTTGAGCTTCCTAGAAGGCAGTTTCATAGTATTCTGCAGTTTTCAAACATATATCTGAAATATTTAGACTCAAAATTTATTTTAGCTGCAATCCTGGATGAAACCATGTTTTTAATGTGTTCAGAGAGAGTTTTGGTTCCTAGTTCCAAGATGTAATTGATAAATTAATTGATTTGTACACAACAAAAGACAATAGTTTGAGAATCCTAGAGTAGAGGGTATTTTCAAATTATTCTGCAGTTTTAATGGATATGATCTGAATATGTATGATGGACTGTATCTGCAAGCTTTGAGACGGATCATGAAACTGTGCTCAGAGAAGCCTCATTACAAGCCAGAAGAGATCAATCACGCGTCGTTTTCTTGGCGTCAAGCGCGTACAGATGAGAATAGTTTGAGCTTCCTAGAAGGTGTTTTCAGATTATTGTTCAGTTTTAAAGGTTATATCTGGAACATGCATACTCAATAGAGTTTAGCTGCAAGCTTTCAGATAATAAGAAGATATGAAACCATTTTATTTTTTTTTTACATTTGCTCACTCCTCATTCCATGCCCATAATAGATCAAGGAGGCGTCACATATAAACGACAATAGTTTGCGCATCCTAGAAGTTATTTTCACATTATTCTGCAGTTTCAAAGCATGCATATGCTAGATTTAGCTACTGGTTTGCAGTCTTAAATGTGTGAGCACATAAAGAAGTGTCTTGTACATCAGCGCGCACTGCTGAAAAGTAACGAGGAAACATGCATATTCTTGAGAAATGATTTTATTTCTGTTTTCCACGTGTCAAATCCAACAATAATCACATAGAAGAATAAATATACATTCATTGACAATAAAAAAATTGTTCAAATTGCAATAAAACGTTGATTTCTTTGTGATCAAATCTAACCCAAAAAAATGTAAACCGCTGACATTGCAACACAACTCCCCGTTCTCCCTTCGGCACTCAGAAAGGCATATGTTCTAAGAAAGCACATTTGAAGCATGGAGTTGATAAGCCACATCACAGAGCGCTCGGACTGAACAGAACAGAGTCGGTATTCTGTACAGGAGATCTCGCGAGCATAACACGTCGCGAGGTGAGCGCTCAAGCCGATGACTTCTACCGCCGGTGCGAACGCGATCCATTCGGAGTCACCGCAACAGGCATAACTCCCTCAGCCGAGACTGCAGCGAGACGGCCGCATCCCATAGTAATGACCGCAGCAGCGCTGGAAGCGCCTCGGTTTTAGCTGATAACGCATCTCTCTTTGTCCTTCGCCTGTGCGCCTCCTATCGCCTTCTCTTTGATGTACATCAAGTCACTATGCACGCTCGGACGGCGCGCAAAAGGCGCAACGATGCCGTACGCGTCGCCGTCCTTGATCTTCTTGTTTCGGAGGGACTTCTTGTGCAGAATGTCGCAGTACTGCACGGACACCTTGCGATGGAGGTCCGGGCTCATCTCGTTGGGCAGTTTGGCGAGAGCAAAAAGTCTCTGGAACATCTGGTCGACGTTAGTGTTCTTCTTGGCGGAGATCTCGAAGTAGGCGCACTGCTCTTCGCCGGCGATCAGCTGCTCGATCTCCTCTCGCTGAACCTCGCGGCAGAACTCGCGGTCGCCCTTGTTCCCGCAGATGACCAACGGGACGTCCACGTTCTCTTTGGTCTTGTTTTTAAGGCAGGACTTGGTCTCGTAGATCTGCTGCTTGAGCCGCTGGACCTCACAAAACGACTCGCGGTTGTCCAGACTGAACACCAGGATGAAAACATCACCTGCGGCCAAAAGAATAAAGAGAGAGAGATTAGAAATCGAGTCTGGTATACTGTTGAGTCAAAGATGCACCGGTTCATAATCTGACATTTACCTGTGAGAATGGATAGCCTCCTCATAGCTGGGAACGGATGGTTCCCTGAAGTATCCAAAATGTCCAGCTGATACACATCTCCTTTAATGCTGTAGAGTTTCCTGTGGAAGTCCTCTATGGTCGGCGTGTACTGCTCCTCGAAGCGTCCGCTCAAGAAGCGAGACACTATCGCCGTCTTGCCAACTTTGGTGGATCCGAGAATGACCATCCTGTAGCAGTTTTTCGCCGGGATGTCAAACTCGTTCTCCGAGGGACTCATTTTCTTAATCATGTTTCTGTGGTGTGTGAGTGGTTTGAGTCGGACTAGTGAAGATCAGCGCGCTGTGGCTCTCTCAAGCGTCGAGAGCGGCTTTTTAAACGCGTCTGCGCTCCTCCTCCGGAACGCGTCACCGCGGGACAGGTGTTGACCGAGCGACGCGTCAGTTCGTGTGGATGAGGTCCGTGCATTCGGGTGCAGCTAATGCCAGGAAATGTACTGAGAGGAAAAGTACTTTCACATCGTGTATCAAACTCCTTACTGTACATTATTTTTTTTAAAACAATATGTCAGACGTATAGGCCTGTACTGTAAAATATAATTTCTATTATTTACTAGGTAAAAATCGCCTAATAATTGATGAGTTCACAGAACTGTAGATTTCTTTTTATTGCTCAGTTATGTATACAATGGAGTGCTTTATGATAATATTTATGTTATTTACTTCACGTCATTATACTCGGATTGAGTGTTTATATGGGTAACACTGTGCTCTGTCTTTGTGTTATTAATGACCACATTACTGGAAAAGCCAATTTTGATGAACTATGTGATTTTGGTTTTTTTTCATTGTAGGCTACCTGTTATTTATCACTACATTTCTCAATAACAATTGAGATTTAATCGCTTAAATAGGTTGTTTATTAACATTAGGCCTATAATTAATTGAAATACTTGCAACTGTTTTTGCAGTAAAATTCTGGTAAGTTCTAGCTGTGTTTTTAACCTTAAATGCAACAGTGTGTCTTAATTAATTTAATGCGTTAATGATGTACACTGGTTTGTTAATGTTTATACTTGACCACAAAGTTGGGAACGGAAAGAGACGCGTCGTTTGCAACATTAGTCGTAAGTGTTTAACAGCTTGTGAGGAACAAGTAAATACAAATACACAAGTCAGTTCACTGTGGTTCTGCTGGAGTTCATGTTTTCTTTTGCAGGCTGCAGTCTTTTATGCAGAAGCGCACGAGCGTTCGTCTCCGCGCAGCGGCGCTAGCGTTCATCTGAGTCGCGCTCTAGAATGCTTGATTCTGATTGGCTGACAGACAGTCTGAGGTGTTGATTATTGTGCTGTTTAATGTTTGATGATTGTGTTATTTTACATATGCATCTGCTTACACATGCCATCGATTGTTTCTGCTTCTTTTTCACATGTGTTTTGATTCAGAGACTCAGTGCTCTTTCAGAAGACGTGTAAAAAAAAAAATACAACCATAAATTGAGCCACTTATGCATTTCCTAATATTAATATGTATGCATTAAATTCTTTTGTATTCTTTCTTCATTTCGTGTTTATAAAGCAATGCATTATAAGACAAGCAATGGCGCCTCAAAGATGAAAGTTGCAAAACAAATGTCAGTGTGAAATGACAATTTGATGAGTTTTCTCAAGAGCAGCGGAAAGCGCAGGTGATCATAATGAGATTTTCTTTGAAACAGGATTCACACAGCACCTGGTTTGGAAATGCACACAGCCTCAGCTCATTACAGGAGAGAAACAAAAGTGTGGAGAGGGAGAAACAGCAGCATGCAGCTGCCATCGATGCCATCATCCTCAAAGACGTGGCCTTAAACAGCAGCAACAGATCTGTTTCAAAGAATGGATGAAAGCCGATGTATGGCACACACAAGCAGGGCCATAAATGAGAGAGAAAGTTAAGAACTAATGCAGAAGCTGTGCAAATAGGACCCTCACAAACCAATACATACATTCTGAGTGATAATGACCTTTACAACCAGAAAGAACTTGTATTTCTACAACTTGACATTCAAATGATGGCAAAAGCACACTCATCTCCGCTGGCAGCACAAGCGTTTCTCATTTTATTTCTCATTCCCATCAGAGAGGGTTTAGGTATGCTGTCTTTCATATTCATGCAAAGGATTTTTCTGTTGATTGCATGAGCTTTTTTGAGAGCCAGGCCATTATCTGATCCGCTCTTAAAGGGATCATTCACTCAAAAATGAAAATTTCAATCATTTACTCACCCTTATGTCGTCCAAATCAGTTCAGCGACTTTCTTCCTTCCATTGAACACAAAAGTATAACTATACATATATATATATACTGTATATATATATATATATACACTATACATATACAATAAACTGAGCAGCAAATCAGCATATTAGAATGATTTCTGAAGATCATGTGACACTGAAGACTGGAGTAATGATGCTGAAAATACAGCTTTGATCACAGAAATAAATTCTATTTTACAATATACTCAAATAGAACATTGTTATTTTAAATTGTAATAATATTTCAGAATTTTACAACATTTTTTAATCACATAAATGCAGCCCAGGTAAGCAGAAGAGACTTCTTTAAAAACAGAAAGAAAAAAAAAAAGCTGTTGTATGTTTGCATTATTTTCAAATAAGTAAGCATGGAAAATAACGAGTAGAATGATCTCTAACACACTTCATCTTTGAAGTGAACCTAAAATCTAAACTGTGCTAATGCACATTATTTCTGAGTATCAATATATTAAAATCCTTCTCCATGCACATTGGTGTAATAGACTTAAATGTGTCAAGTGTTTGCGAGTTAATGCTCTTAACAAACACATTGTAATTGAGTTTCAAATTGCTCTTTCCAGGAATTTGACTTGTTAAGAGCTCTTAAGGTCTGAATAAGGGTAAAATGCTAATTAAATGATGTCTTATGAACAAAGTTTGGGAGGAGCACGTTCAAATGATCTACCCAGTCAGCTTGAGAGGAGGCACATATATATATATATACACTACCGGTCAAAAGTGTGGAATCAGAACGATTTTTAATGTTTTTTACAGGAGTCTCATCAAGGCTGCATTTATTTGATCAAAAATACAGGAAAAATTTAATATTGTGAAATGTTATTATGATGTAAAATAAAGTTTTTCTATTTTAATATACATTAAAGTGTAATTTATTTCTGTGATGCGCAGCTGTATTTTCAGCATCATTACTCCAGTCTTCAGTGTCACATGATCTTCAGAAATCATTCTAATATGCTGATTTATTATCAGTGCTGGAAACTGTTGTGCTGCTTAATATTTTTTT